CGCGCTCGCCCTCCCCCATTTCCTGAAGGACAGCAGCTCTGTCTGCAGATCCCGCCCTCCTTTTCTATGCGGGATCCGGCTCGTCTTTTGGCCCAAAGCTCTTTTCGTCTTCGTCTCCTTCCCGTCGCCTCCAGCCATCGTGTCCTCTGCCCGTCCTGGAATCGTTCCTTCCACGCGAGGGTCTTCACTCTCGTTTTGTCCCCGCTCACCTGTCCCCCTTTCCCGATTCCCCCGCTCCCGGGCCTCGCCTTCCCGACCAGGGCCCGAGGTTGCCGGGAAGGGAATTTTCCTGCCCCTTCGCCTCGAAAGGACCAGCAACCTTAACGCCGGCAGCTGGGCACTCCTCGAGAAACACAGGCCGAGAGGCGTCCCTTCTGCAGAGGAAGGGACGCTGGGCGTTCAAGATGACCCCAGGGAGGCGCTGCGTGAAGGCGTGTGATCTGAATCCGGAACCGTTTCTCAAAGTTCCAGTATTTTAACACCTCCTTCCGTGGAAGCCTATTGACTCTTCTTATCCCCGCAGAGTCGCAGAAGGATAGGAAGGATTCCCCACGCGAGACAATAGACCGTTGGAGCGAGCCTTAACGGCGTCGTTAAATAATTTTCTGGGGCAAGGTAGATTGTTGGGGGATTTTAAAAAAAAAAGGAGACATGCAGGACTACTAGTTTAGATACAGTCAATTAGAAGCATTTAGATGGTGGAAATCAGGGATTCACTTGGTGACTGCATTAGTCTTGAGGCATCTTTATTCACATATCACCGGATGGCAAAAAATAAAATGAAAAACCACTCTCACTGCCCTGTAGTGATAGTGACGCATGGCAACTCAATAGGACAGGGTACAACTGCCCCTCGGGGTTCCTGAGACTTAACTCTTGACCTTGGAGTGGAAAGCCTAATCTCTCCTGCAGGGCTGCTGGTGGTTTTGAACTGCTGACCTCGTGGTTAACAGCCCAACACATAAAGCACTACTCGACCAGGGCTCCTTTCCCTGATTATCAGCGTCTTTTAAGTACATGACAGCATTTCCAACAAAAGCAGCCTCACCTCTTGGACTGCATTTTGTGGTTTCTACTAGCCAACGACCTGTTCAATGAATGGCTTCTCATATCAGCCGAACAAGTTACATTGCTATTTCTGAAATGTATGGGAATGTTTCCAGCCCAACAGACCTGGTTTATTAGTGTTCTTGGTCGCTGGCAGTATTACTTGAAATGTAGAAAGAAAAGCCTACTGAATGTAGCTGAGCTCCTGTGATTGCGATTTACTAGCCTGGAAAATGGTACAAATCTCCCTTAATCTCTCATGGCCATCCAATCAGTTCTGAACTGCTCGCTGTGGGTTTCTGAGGCGTTAATTCTGTGGGAGAAGACTGCCTGCCTTTTTTCCCTAGGGAGCAGGTGGTGGGTTTGAACCGAAGATCTTGTAGTTAGCAGACCAACTATGCCAGTAGGAGTCCTTGGTATAAATCTTAACCAAAGTAAATAAACTTTTTTTTTGAGTGCTTATTTCTGAAATAGCAGCATGATTCTTTTCCCATGGCCTCTAATTTATGTGCCTATCACAAACCACAAACTTTCTCAGGGTCTGTTCATTAATCTTGTTGACCTTTATCATGAAAGTTGTCAAAACAAAAGGAGTTACCACTTTAGAACAGCTCTTGTGTGTGTGTGTGCACGCGCGCGTGCGCGCTCTTTTAAAACCCTGGCTTTGTGTATGTAATCATTTGAAATGTCTGGTAAGCACTGAATTGAGATACAGAGTGGAGGAGGAAGGTGGGCTGAGGGGGCTATGGTTTTTCTCTTCTGCTCTTAATTGACTAGTAATTAGGAGTTGGAAAGAAAACGGTATATGACCCTGATGTTGAAATGATTAAGCTTTGAATTCCAGGCTCAGTCAAATTAGCTGCTCATTATTATATTTCTTCACATCACAGTATTTTGAACCTTTAAAGCCTATTGGAAATGAACATACTAGATCAAGAAAATGGTTTGATGTTTTCCTGCCCAAATCACCAAATCTGCAGTTTGCTCGGTGAAGAGAGAGGGTGTGTGTGTGTGTGTGTGGTTTTGCTTGGAAGTAAAGATCCTCCTTCATTTGTCACTGGGTGCCTCAGTACTTAGGGTTGAATGCTAAGTGATTGTGGAGTAAAAGATCACTTTTAATAATCTTCTGGACTCCGTTTTTGTACGTCTTAAATGTTGGGTTGCTCTCCTCTTGGCTAATCAGGCCCTCTGCTCCCTTTGCTCCAGTGGCGTGGCGGGGCTGTGTCACAGTGGGATGTCCCTAGGGTCAGGAGTTACGGGTGGGGAGGATTACAAGGTCTTCATTGTGCTTAGTTGCTTTCACTTAGCGCTGACTTGTGTGCCCTGTAACTCTCAGCCCTGTTTACCAATTACACCCTGCCCACGTCATCATGATGTCTTCTGTGGGGGAGAACTGAATGAAATTCCCTCAGGGCCCGCCTTCTCAGCAGCTCCTCTGCAGGGGATCGTGGCTCATCCTTCCTCCCAGGAGCTGAGGCTGTTGCCTCGCCCTGCAGCTGTCCTAAGGTGGCACTATTGAGTAAGCATGGGACTGGTAACCACAAGGTCAGTAGTTCAAAACCACCAGCAGTTCCTTGGAAGAAAGATGAAGCTCCCGTAAAGATGCACAAAGCCTCGGAAACCCTGTGTGAGATCACTCCGAGTCGGAGTCAGCTGCATGGCAGTTGGGGGCGGGGGTAGGGAGGAGGTGGTGCCGATGATGAAGTCTATCCAGCTCCTGCTGGAAGATCTCCCCGAAACCCTCTTGGGAAGTATGCTGCCTAGGCGACATATTTTATCCCCCGGGGCCCATCTTTTCTCTTAAAACAAAACCCAGACCAAAACCTAACAGAACCACAACAGGAACAAAATCTCGCTGTGAAGGAAATACCTCGTGGGTGAATTTGGCAAGTCAGAGGTCAGCACCAAAGAAGTTAGCTCTCAACCATAGTTTACCAGGCTTCTGTCTGTCTGTCCTTGTAGTACAAACCATGGCGTCCGGCAGTGCCAGTGAGGAGGAGCGCAGCCTCCGGGAGTGCGAGCTCTATGTCCAGAAGCACAATATCCAGGCGCTGCTCAAGGATTCCATCGTGCAGCTGTGCACCGCGAGGCCCGAGCGGCCCATGGCCTTCCTACGGGAGTACTTCGAGAGGCTGGAGAAGGTAAAGGCATGCCTGGGGGGCGGTGGCGAAGACCAGACTGCCTGCCCTGACAATTGGGAAACTCCTTACTGGAAAATGCTCTGGCGTGGTACCCCTGTTGGGGATGGGAAGGGATGCTGACCAATAAAACGGATGCATCAGTTTAAAGGAGGAATGCAGTCAAGCGTTCCTAGTCTTCTTGAACTTCATCTGTGGGATTCACCAGAAAAGGTGAATCTGAGCTAACAGGGTTTCCAAAGCCAGTTCTAGGAAACTGTTAGAACTGGTTGTAAAGATTGACTGTCTCAGGCCCAGCTGACCTGAAGTAAGCACGGCAGTTGGAAGGCATGCAGAGTTCTTGTGATTGTAGGGAATGGTTGTCTCGCCCACAAAGCAAGCTAGCTTGCTGAGCCTTACCCCATGGGTGGACGACATTCCAGTGTAATGCAATGTTTGCAGCCTGTGTAGCTGAAGTCCTCATATAGTGAAGTCCCTTTTACCTGACAGTATCTTTCGTGAGTTTTTCAAGATTGACTGCTGCCAGAAATGAATTTCATTTATAACGTTGGTCAGGCCTTTTTGCCCATTGGGAAAAAAAGAGTCTGTTTTTCTTTTAATCTTGGTGGTTCTGTTGTTATTGTGTGCATCTCTGGCCCATGCTTTCTAAACCATCACAGGCAGTGTTTAATTCACCTCCCTCGTCAAGATAAATGAAAAAGTCTATAATACTTAAAAGTAATTGGAGTCGCCTTGTGTCATTTGCTACTTTGAATCAGCAGAATAAATTGACAGGCTTTCTTGTGCATCCCAAGGTTTAGCAGTGATGAGGCAGAATGTTGAGCTAGTTAGGGGACACTTTCTCAGGTATGTGGTCATTAGTTATTTTTAATTATTAACAGTAATATTTCTAAACCTTCCCACTGATGTAGACAATCTCTTGATCAGTAGAACTCATTAAAAAGAATACACTGGTAAGAATTGTTTTTTTTTTGTAAAATGTGGCTGGTTCAGTGATGAGAGCTTGTCAGCTTCGGTGGGAAAGTTGTTAGAATTGGTATTTAATACCATGATTAGAATGATTTTTAAAATGAATAAAAGATAGACTAATTAGATCCCATGACTTTTCCCATCTTGGGATTTTAGTAGGAATCCGGGCTTTCTCTTGTTTAAGCAGCTTCTGTGCCGCTGGAGAGGCAGGGCTGTGGGCGCTCCGTGGTTAGAATGAAGTGTATTCCGGAGATCTGGTCCTGAAATGAGCCACTGTCAGGTCAGCCCTCTTTTGTCTTTATACATCAATAGAAACCATTAAACGAGAGGCTAAAGCTGATGAGAGAGACCTGAAGTGTGTCTTTTTATAGGGAATGTTGGATGAGTGGTGCTCACCTCAAAGGCTGTGCTCCTGCAGCGCTGCTTAAGCATTAACCAAGGTTGAAAACGGGAAGCAATTATTAAAACAATCTGGTAAACAAAGTTACCGTATAGATGGGCGCCTTACCTAAATCCAGGTTGATTCCGACTCAGAGACCCTCCAGGACAGAGTGGAACTCCTTCCCCATAGGGCTTTCCTGCTGTAAATCCTTGTGACTGACAGCTACGGCCACGTCTTTCTCTTACGGAATGGCTGGTGGGTTCGTTCAGCAGTGAAGCACTTTATCCATTGTGCTATCAGGGCTCCTGATAGGCTTCCCACCACCTGTTAAATGTCCCATAGCTTAAACGCTTCCCCATAATTCATGGGACTTTGTTCATTTCTGCACAGTCCTTTAGTGACGATTGACTGCAGATCCTGGTCTTCAAAGTATAGGCAGTTTCCAGCCTTCTACTGGGGCTTGTTCCTCCTGTCAGGCACTGGTGTCTGTCAGCCAGCCTTCACCTCCTTTCCCATTATTGCTGGGACCTTCAACCGCTCACTAGGAGAAAGAAACACCAGAAAACCCACATTTGATTTATCGAACGTTTCGGAGCTCTACTTCAGGATGTTACCGAGAGTTTGAGTTTTTGTAGAGAGCTTTGGGGTGAAGTGGGTTTGAGCTTTGGCCTGATAACCACAAGGTTGGAGGTTCAAAGCTACCAGCTGCTCTGTTGGAGAAAGATGAAATGGATGATTTGCTCAAAGATTTACAGTCTGGGAAATCGTGTGGAGCAGTCCGAATCTGTCTTACAGGGTCAATAGGAGTCAGAATCGATTGGAAGACAGTGGATTTTTTATTCTCCTTTTTTTTTTAACATAGACATTTATGAGAGGCCTGGGAAGAAGTTCATGGGCATTTTTCATTGTGTTTTACTCTATTTTCCATGAGTTTTCAGAAGTTCATCCTGAGTAGAACCTTGCCTGTCTTAATAGACCAGGCCGGTGGAGTGTTGATGGCCATGTCCACTGTGTGTTTGCTATGTGCTCAGTGCTCGGAGGTGCTGCGTGTCGGATGTGAGAATTACCAAAATGCAACGCTGACAAAAACTGAGAAACATGGCGCTGATAGACTTGCTCTACACAGCTCACCTCAAACCTTCATTTTCTGACAAAGGCCCATCTGTGGAGCACAATGAAATGAGGCATGCCTGTGTAAGCAGGACCCCTTATTATTCTCCCGTGGTTCTGACCTCCTGTGTTGCAGGGGCCCTGGAATTTAATCCTCTCCAGGAAGGCCTTCAGGAGCCCTGGTTAGATTCTCTGCTGCCAATGGAAGGGTTGATGGTTCATATCCACCAGTTGCTCTGTGGGAGGCAGAGGTGGCTCTCTGCCTCCCTCAGGATTATATCCTGGGATAGATAGTCTGTGGTCGCTGTGCCCTGTAGGCTTTCTCTGAAATGGCAGTGTGGGGGTGTGTTTTTTGGTGGTGGTGTTTGGAAGCACCACCTTGGAAAACAGTTAAAGTTCCCTGGTGGTGGTGGTGGTGGTGAGATTGGATCACAGTCTTTGAAACTCCACAGTTCTCCTCTCTCCTGTAAGGGTCCCATTGAGCTTAGATGCTCATTTAGCATGTTTTACTATTTAAATCAATGATACTTTGATTAATTTGAATATATGTCATGGCACACAGATATATATTGTAAGATAAATCCCTGGAAGTAGAATTAGTGGGCCAAGAATGAATGCATTTGTAATTACATAGAAATGAAAAAAATTCAAGTCCTTTTGTGATATATTTTATTTACTGTGCTTTTTTTAGTTGAAAACTAAAAAAGTAAACTACTCCACAAAAATAAAATTCAACGATGAATTTAAAAGAAATCAAAACTGTTAACACACAAAAAAGTTACCCTTTTAAACCTTTCTTGCTGCCTGGAGATTGTCTGTTTTGATGTTAAAAACAGGATTGAATTCCCTGCTGGAATGGAAGCAGGCTACCCTGCTGCCACCACGGAGGGGGTCAGGCATGCCTCCAGGGCCCTTCCTCCTTTACCTATTCTGAAACCAGCCATTCTTCCCACACCACTCTTCTGTGCTGCGTTTGATCTTTCACTGCACAGCCACACAGAACTCAGGCAATTCTCATGGTTCAGAGAGTTTATTAGGGAAGTTAATAGGTTACCACAAGCCAGCATCAGCAAACAGTAAGGGTAGTTTGTGGTCTCCACAGTCAGCAGCCAAGTCTCTCTCAGGTTCTAAGCTGCGCAGCTACTTGGGTGGTCCTTTCACCTTTGCCTCCATATGGGCCAGGAAGCCAACCCACTACCTCTCAGTGTCCCAGTCCCATGTCTCAGGCCGCATGAGAAATAGCCCATTGTCTGCCCTGTTCTTCTGAGCCTCCGTGCCAGTGTCTGGTGCATGTGGTCTCAGTGGACTCTGCTTCTGTGACTGAGGTCTTGGACCTTCTAGTAGCTCTCTGATTTCTTCTCAGTCCCAGATGGCTCCTACGCACTGAGGATGGCTTTGATGAGGTGTGGGTGTCTCACCCCCAAGTCCAGTGAAGGATGGTGTGTTAAGCCACATTCTCCAAGGCATCTAAAGATGCCTCCCAGGAAAAGGGTGTGAGTGACTTGGTTCACACCTTCTGCTAAAGTCAGGTTTGAACTTCACCCTAATCCTGCCCATTCGTTTAGCGGAGAACTCCCTCCAGAGGGGCCATAGCCACCGGCAGAGTCCAGAACTATGGCACACCACACAGGGAATATGGTTCGAAGGGCCGTTATAATTGACTGAAACCTAATTCAAGTGGGGGAAGCACCTCTCCAGTTTCCTTTTTTCATCAAAATATCTCCTAAAAGAGTCCATAAACATGAAATTCATTTGGAAGTGGAAACATTTTCACCTGTAATGGAGACTGGGGTAAATGAGAGGAGGGGTGGTTGCTGGTGCTTTGTTCTTCCTTCCCCTTCAGTTTTGTTAGTCATTGATGAGTGCAGGTCCGTGAGGAGTTTGTATGTTGGAAAAATCAAGATGTTTATTTTCATTTTTCTATAAGTTGGTTCAATAAGAAGTAGTGTTTTGTTTTATTTTTTTTTAAGTAGTGTTTTAAAGCAGTTAAACGCGTTTGTTCTGACTTCAAGTATAAGCCAAATGAACTCCATTGCATTGGGTTGATTCTGACGCATGGGGACACACACCCTTAGTGTAAGCGTTCTGAGAAATCATTACCAGCTCATACAGACTTAGAGTGGGCAGCTACTGGTTTGAACTGCCAGCCTTGCAGTAGCAGCTCAAGGCTCCTCTGAGCTCAACAATATCCCGATCTGATAAATGGATACTTCTAGCGCTGCTGGGAGATCTGATTTTACTGAAATTTCAGGTTGTTCTTTCATTCACTGTATATACTCGATTATAAGCTGACCCGAATGTCAGTGGAGGTACCTAATTTTACCACAAAAGCTGCATTAAAAATGTGCTGATAAACTCGGCTTATACACGAGTCTATGCGGTAAATAGCTGGTGTGGTTTGGACTCTTGCTAGACAGGACTTTCCATGCCCAGGGCCCTCGGGCTGGTTTGTTCTTCCATCCAAGTTGCCCTAGGGGAGGACCTGCCTCGCTGGATCGAGGACTTGTTACAGTACATCAATCAGTGAACAAACCTAATCCTCAGATGCTCTGGGATCTTTGCCGCTTGGACTTGTTCCTGGAAGGCCTTCTGGGGGTAGGGGCTGCTTTTATGATCTGCAGCTGCACCTAAAGACCCCGGTGCTCCAGGGTTTTGTTTTGAAGTTTATTACTGCTCATGTGCATTGTAAATTATTCTCTCTCTCTTTATATATGTGTGTGTATTGTTTTTAATTTTATTCATATTTTATAAATCATTTTATTGGAGGCTCTTTATAGCTCATAATCCACACATCAGTTGCATCAAGCACATTTATACTTGTGTTGCCATCCCTTTGAAAATGTTTTCTTTCTATTTGAGCCCTTGGTATCAGCTCTTCTTTTCTCCCTTCCTCCCCCGCCCTCGCACCCTCGTGCACCCTTGACAAATTATACATTATTATTTTCATATCTTATACCATCCGCTGTCTCCCTTCACCCAGGCTTCTGTTGTTCATCCCCTTGGAGGAGTGGGGGGCGTTATACGTGAATCATTGCGAACGGTTCCCCTTTTCTTCCCTCCTGTCAGTGTATTGTTAGTCCAGGCAGCGCAGTTTACCTTCGTGTGACGTCTTTGTTCTAGTGACTTGTGTCCATTTACAAGCAGCTTTTCTCTGCAGAGGAAGTGCTGGAACCCCTTGAGAGCATATCTCTCGAAACCTGTTCTGCATTTGGAACCAGCTTTTCAAAACCCTTAGTTTTCATGCTGGTAATATGGGTAGAGAGTTCAGGTGACTCAGATGGACTGTGATTCGAGATGATCAGCTTGAGGGAGAATACTGAGCGATCTCATTGTGCCAACCCCCCCTTTCTTTCAGGAGGAGGCCAAACAGATTCAGACCCTGCAGAAAGCCAGCACCCGGGCCGACTCTCGGGAAGATGAAATCTCTCCTCCTCCTCCCAACCCTGTGGTTAAGGGCCGCAGGCGGCGAGGTGCTATCAGTGCCGAAGTCTACACGGAGGAAGACGCAGCCTCCTATGTTCGAAAGGTAGTTCTGACACCTAGACATAGGTGAAATGTTCTTGGGACCCATGTGGTTGTCATCTGGTCTCGTTCCACGAGTGTGGCCAATGTTAGGTGTCGAAAAACATCAACCTGGCTGGTCCTTTCTTCGTCCTGTAGAGCGGAGCGGTCTCTGCAGCAGCACGCCCCCTGCAGGAGTAACCAGGGACTCTTACAACAGGGACTAATGGGATCTGGGGGTTGTTTTTGCCTTTGTGATGCAGCCAAAGCAGCAGGCCGCCCTCCTTTGTTTCCTGAGTCATGATGTCAGTCTTTTGACATCCTGCACTTGGGTTGCATGCGTGGGAATTGACTGGGTGGCAGTGAGTGAATGGACTTGGCCTCCTGATTTGCCACCTTTAACCTGTAACCCTCATTGGTCTGACCCTCTTTGTCCTTGCTGTCATTTTGACTTTGAGCACTAGCTTTGAGGGGACCAGCATTTGCACTGGCCCTCAAGGCTGTGGAACTAATAGAACACATGATCACAGCTTTAAAGATGTCCAGTCGTCTGTCATAAAGTATCTCCTTATGTCGTAGACGGGTGACCGTGGTCCAGGTGTGTTTGTTTGTTTCTTCAGTTAACTGGAAACCAAGTACTAGCCTTTGACTACTGGTCTGACTACTGTGGCCAAGGGGATTAACTAGTCAGTATTTGTTGAGTGCTTTGGGATCAAAGATGACACAAATGGGTTGTAATGAAGATATTTAAGTCAAAGCAGTCTTGCTCACTGACAGTAATGTGGCTTGACCTTCAGGTGAAATGCAGTTTCTGGAATAGTCATTTGATCTTCAATTCCTTTTCTAGGTCATACCGAAAGATTACAAGACAATGGCTGCTTTAGCCAAAGCCATTGAAAAGAATGTGCTGTTTTCGCATCTTGATGATAATGAGAGAAGGTGGGTATAGGGCTTTTCCCCTCAGGCTCCTTTTCCAGTGAGGCTGTAGTCCCAAATGGTTCTCAGCACCTTGCCGCAAATGTTAAGGCATTTGGTCATCCTTCACCCGAGGTGTGTCCCCTGCCCCCCACCTGTGATCTATGATGTCAGTGTTTGCAGTCCAGAGGAGACCTATGTGAGCTGTAACAAGGCCCTCTTTCCTTTGCAGTGATATTTTTGATGCCATGTTTCCAGTCTCCTTCATTGCTGGAGAAACTGTTATTCAGCAAGGTAAGGGCTGTGGGTTCTTTGACGTATACCTGACGTGTAAAAGTATTGTCAGTGAGGGAGGGCCGTAGAGTGAGGACAGTGGGCTTATTTGGTCTTGTATTTTTATTGCGGGGCGTTTTTCTCTTCCATGGTCCATCTTCCTCTGTTATGCAATTGGTTTTTCTATTTTATTTTCTTGAATCAGAAAGGCACTGTCTTTTCCCCAGAGGAAATGATACCTCCCCAGCATCTTGCATATAAAAACTGTGAAAGAGAATTCTGCATGTTGTGTGGGATTTTCTAACTGTCTCGTGTATATGTTTTCAATGACCAACCATCTAAAATCTAACTGGGCCATCAGCAAAATACCCATCACCTCTGTTTGTGTGCTTTCTATAGGTTGGATCTTTCTGCTGACACACAGTAACAGGGATCCAAGCCTCCTGCCCTGTTTTCTTTCTTTCTTTATATTTCATGGTATTTATAAGTCAGATGTTTTCCTATTTAATAACCATCTGACATTTTGCTGCTTAATCATTTGAGTTATTTCTGGGTGTGTGCGGTTCTGTCAGTTGACACAGCAATACACGTTGTGTCCATTTGTAGCCTTGTTCTTTTAGTCACTGTTTGCAAGAGGTATTCACTATTGAGATGATAAATACACATGGACCAATTTTAAGACTTAAAATATATTGCCTCACAGAATAGGTTTAGTAGTTTACATAAATTTGATAATTTTCCTGTCTCTTTAATTTATACTGTATTCCTCCCCGTTTTACTTTCCTCTCACAGGTGATGAAGGTGATAATTTCTATGTGATTGACCAAGGAGAGATGGATGTAAGTTTCCTAATAGCAAAATCAGGGTGAAAATCTCTCAAGTCCAAGTATTGATTTTTGTGTTGCTTCTAAAGAAAAAGATGGTATTTCTGAGGTCTGTGTAGTGCATGCACACATACCTTTTGCCAAGTGTTTTGATGACAGCGGCGTTTGAAACGTATTTCTGTAGCTAACGTGCAGCTTTGCTGCCGGTGTGGTGCTGAGACGTGCAGACTGCAGATTAGGACACGTCCTACTGAGCCTCGGCCCAGCCACTTGTCCTTCTGAGGTTGAGCTCAGCTGCCTTCACTCTGTAAATCCTGCTGATAGTGAAATTAGGATTAATGATAGCTTTGATTTTGTTTAACTGGAGAAAACTCAGCCACCTGACACAAGCCATACAGCTCAGCAGTCTGTCTGTAAACAGGTGAGACGATTAATGCATGGCTGATCCTTACCCTCTGGTGTTCCCCACGGAGTATCGTTTTCTTACTATTAAAATGAAGTGAATCCCAGGTGCTCTTACCCTGTTTCCCTGGAAGTTTTCTGGTCTGTATCTTGAGATATGCATGTATTTTATTTTATTTCTTAGCAGCGGGTAGGAGGCTGACCCCTTCAGAAGGGGTGAAGATTTTAATTCTTAAACAGTGTGGTGGTGGAAGAAACTCAGTTCTTTGATGTCACTTGCACCTTAGGTCTACGTCAACAACGAATGGGCCACCAGTGTTGGGGAAGGAGGGAGCTTTGGAGAACTGGCTCTGATTTACGGTACACCCAGAGCAGCCACGGTCAAAGCAAAGACCAATGTGAAGTTGTGGGGCATTGACCGAGACAGCTACAGACGGATCCTCATGGTAAGAGACCCAGGCTTTTGGAGGCAGTTGAGGATTTTTGTCCATGTGGCTCCTGTCTGCTAAACCTGCTAGCCAAATTGAAATGGCTTTGTATGGATCTCAGCTTAGCGCTGCACATTGTACCCTGTGAGACCAAGGGTCTTTCACAGCCTCTGTTGGGCCAGAACTAACGTGAGTCTAAAAGGTGGGTGCAGTAAACAGCATGGGGGCCATAGCTCCGGCCTCTGGTTTCCCTAGTGCCACGAGGTGGGGCTCAGATGTACCTCCACACCCCATCCTACACTACCTAGTCTGACACCAACCGTTCCTCCCACACATACTACATCTTTGCTGGGTTCAATAATTCATTGCAACGGCCACAGAGATCTCACAACTAAGGGGCTTTATTAGGAAGTTGTGAGGTTACCACAAGTCAGGGTCAGCACACAGTAAGCATACAGTCATTGGTCTCCTCAGCCACCAGCCAAGTCTTTCTGGTTCTCAGCCACGTGGTAGCCAAGTCTCTCTCCAATTCGTAGTCTCTCAGCCACTCGGTCTGTTGGCCTTTGCCTCCACCAGCCAGGAGGCCTGCCCGCCTGCCCTCTGCCCACAGTCCCACTGTCTGGGTCAGATCACGAGAAGGTGCTCCGTGGTCTTGGTGCTGCTCCCGAGTCTCCATGCCACAGTCGGTGGATGCCTCTGCTGTCGCGCCCCCGTCACTCCAGACAGGTCCGTGCTTTTCCAAGGTCCGCGAGTTTCTCGCTTTGCTTCCTTTTAGGCAGAGCAGCGCTATTGGGAACTGACCAGTCCTCTCATTAGAGTTAACACACCCGCCCTGTTGGCATAGCCCCATCCAGTCATTTGATGGGCGCTCTGGGGACTTGGGTGTAAGAGCCATATTTTAGGATATTTCACTCCACCACTGTGATGCATATGTAGTGGTAGGCTCATTGGTGGAAATAGGCATGTGCCAACTTCCCTGACCTGCCTTGGCACAGTAGGCAGATCAGCAGGTACGGCTTATAAAGCGCACAGTTATTAATTGAAGGTCCTTTTGCAGTGGTCCGCTTCTTTAAACTGCAGGTGGCTTATCTGCAGGCATACACCCTGACCCTACTCAATAAAAGCATAAACAATAGGAAAACCATTAGAGTCTTCTGCTGTGATGTAGGCAGCCTCTCTGAGAACTTGGTGAGCATTTAGAGACTAGCTATGGGTGTTGAAGGCTCCATTAAATGTGTTAGTCATTCTGAATGATTTTCTTGAGTTTGCACAGTGCCTGTGGCTGTTTGAAAGGATGCAGACTCACGTGAACTGGAGTGTTTCTGCACCTGGGAGATTGTGTGTGTGTGTGTGTGTATGTATGCGAGATTGTGTGTTTGTGTGTGTGTGTGTGTGTATGTATGCGCACGCACACGCGTGTGTGTTCGTGTGCATGTGCACACATGTACATGCAGGCAGCGCTGGGCTCACTGTTTCTCTGAAGTTGGAGGTCAGTGGGAACTGTTGCGTTTGGGTCTTCTTGGGCCCTTTTTTCTTTCTTTCTTTTTTTAAAAAAATCATTTTATTAGAGGCTCATACAACTCTTATCACAATCCATACGTACATCAATTCTGTAAAGCGCATTTGTACATTCATTGCCCTCATCATTCTCAAAACGTTTCCTCTCCACTTAAGCCCCCGGCATTAGGTCCTCATTTTTCCCCTCCCTCCCCGCTTCCCCCTCCCTCATGAGCCCTTGATAATTTATAAATTATTATTTTGTCATATCTTGCCCTGTCCGACGTCTCCCTTCACCCATTTTGCAGTTGTCCGTCCCCCAGGGAGGAGGTCACATATAGTTCTTTGTGATCGGTTCCTGCTTTCCTACCCACTCTCCCTCTACACTCCCAGTATTGCCACTCACACCACTGGTCCTGTAGGGATCATCCACCCTGGATTCCCTGTATTTCCAGTTCCTATCTGTTCCAGTGTACATCCTCTGGTCTAGCCAGACTTGCAAGGTAGAATTCGTGTCATGATAGTGGGAGCGGGGAGGAAACATTTAGGAACTAGAGGAAAGTTGTATTTTTCATCGTTGCTACATCGCATCCTGACTGGCTCGTCTCCTCCCCGAGACCCCTCTGCAAGGGGATCTCCAGTCTTGGGCCCTTTTTTCATGCAGGAGAAGACCTGGTGCCTCTTCAGGCTTCAGAAGCTGCCCGTGCTGCAGGTGGAGGGGTAGTGATGGATTCAACACTGATAGGGCTTGGGTTGATCATTTAAAAGCAGGGCTTCAAACTGATTCTTCTTGGCCCTGGAGCTGCAAAGATGGCAGCACCCTGCCCAAAGTCAGCACCTCACTTGGAAGGTGTGCGGGTCCCCTCACCCCCAGCCCTGTTACCAATCTAGTTTCAGCCCCGCAGGCTCCTGAAATGTCTCCCTGCACCTCGTGCAAGTCTCTCAGTCTAAAGCTCTGACCCCAGTATTCCTAGTTACTCCTCTGGTAACTGACAATCACCAAATGGCTGACAGCCGGTTTGAAGCTCTGCGTTACAGGGCAAGCAGGGGTCGTGTGTCACTCTAACCTGAGATGTGTCTGCAAGGGGGGCGGGGGAGTGTGTGTGTGTCCCTTCCCTGCACTGGGTATGTAAGACTACTTTTGTAGATAACACAAGTGTGCCAAGTGTGGGGTTAGGACCCCTTTCTCTGTTCCTGAGTGACAGCATTCTCGTACATTTCTGAGGTAGTGGCGTTAGAGGTGAGGACTGTGGGACACCTTCCATGACTTAGGATCACATAGGTGACTTGGAGGGTTTTTAGGAACTGATGATTTGCTTCTTTAAAGTCCTGCCTGTGTGGTGGTGCTGGGTGACTGGTTTTGCTTTTCAGAGGAGCCCGTTCCTCTGGGACTTTTATTTGAGAGCTGACCAGAGGAGTCCATCTGTCTTTAATGTGGAGAAAAAGACGTTTTCATCCTGAAGAGCTTTCTCATTCTGTTCATTAGCAGCAAGCTGTGATGTGTTTGTGTGCGTCTGATTTGTGCTCTTTTTCTGTTTTAGGGAAGCACTCTGCGCAAGCGGAAGATGTATGAGGAGTTCCTTAGCAAAGTGTCCATTCTGGGTGAGTTGGACGATGGCGTGGAAAACAGTTAAATCTGGTCGATGATACTTAAGCAGATCTTCCTGTGTTTCATAAGAGCTACTCTAGTTATCTTCACTCGCACTTCTGTTTGCGTGTGGCAGTCATTAAAAAGGACATGGCATGCTTATTTGATCGCGTCCAAGCGATGAGTAAGTGGCAAGTGATTTGAAAACGTTGAATGTGCTGGTGTCTGAAGAAGCTCTCAGGAGAACTGACTGGACTGGTGTGCTCTGGGTTCCTTTGGAAGAGACGGCGAGCCTTCGGGTGCCCTGCCTACGTCTCAGTGGGTCCTGGGTGGTGTCTCCGATGGGTCACCCTTGGGTTTGTTGCTTCAGGAATGAGTATCTGGAAGCAGGCGTGTCCTCTGGGCAACGGTTAGGTGTCCTTAGAGTGCACCCTATGAACGGCGTGCCCAGTATTTATTGAGTTTCAAAATGGAGCCAGTTAGAACAGAGACATTTTTGGTGTATTATGTGAGTTTGATTTTGTGACACTTTTCTCCATTGGGAGGAGAATGGCCATTTTTATAATAGCCTTCTGCCATTGTTTTGTTACAGTGAGTGGGTTCTCCTCCCTCCCCCCATTGTCCTCTATGTGGAATGGCCACATTGGCTGATAGTGACAATATTATTTGGGGCGCAGTGGTTGTAGATTTGATTTGCACTGGTGGTGTTCTTTGGGAATATCTATTTGCATGTTCTTACCCTCAACACGGGGTGCAGGTGGTAGAAACTTACCTGGCCATTGGGCTACTGAAGGGAGAATCGGTGGTCCTCTGTAGGAAATAGGAAATGATGACCGAGGGCAGTGGTAATTGGAGGTGGGCAGCATGTGCTGTCTGAGACGCTGCTGGGCTGTGGGGTGGGCATGGTTATTGGCTCGAATCACTTTACCCTTTTGTTTTGACATTTGTTTAACAGCCGCTAACGTGGACACGCTTTATGGGTTCTTGCAGAATCTCTGGACAAGTGGGAGCGCCTGACCGTCGCAGATGCGTTGGAGCCAGTCCAGTTTGAGGACGGACAGAAAATTGTGGTGCAGGGGGAGCCAGGGGATGAGTTCTTCATTATTTTAGAGGTAAAGAGCCTTTAGTTCTTAAGACAGCTGTATTTAAAGTGTTAGGCGTCAAGGGTTCTTGTTGGGTTTGCCACCAGGCCCCTCCGTTCTCAATGAGCTTGAGTCAGAATTCTAGACAGGAAGGCTCCACCTGAGAGAGGAAGTCAGAGCCCAAGGAACCCTCAGCATGGAAGCCAAGTTTAACTCAGCCCGAGGTGATTTTGCACCTTCTGTTACAGAGCACCTGTTGGGCTATTTAGCCAATAAAGATCAACAGTAAACCACTTAACAGCCACCATGTTTTATTTTTAATTTGATAATCCGCAGGTGCCCTTGCCTGCTAGGTTCAGAGAGCAGATTTCCTTGAAACTAGTAGCATGTGGATTTTTCCGTGACACTGTAAAGATCCAGGGAAGGTAGGCTTTGCAGGCCGTAGTTCCTAGTGCCTCCCTGAAATGTACTGGGCACTGCGGGCTGGGGAAAGCAGCTGCACCCGACATGTCATGCAGAGCCTGCCAACTGGCCTGGCCTCGGGCTGCACTGTGTCAGGGGAGTCGGAACCCTGTCAGTATCCCAGCTCCATGAGGAGAACCTCCCTGCAAGGCAGAGGGGACCCGCACAGGTTGACCGGGACTTCAAGCTCACGTAGTTAGTGATGAACTCTTCTGCCAGTTTTTGTCACCACGTGTGCATTTAGGGTTTGCCCTAACCACGGACCCCTTTTCATTTTGCAAAGGAGCGAAAACAACCTCTACGCCGTAGAGTCTGGTATTTCACGGGGCACCTGGGATTTAAACGTCTGTACTATTGTTCGGTGATTGCGTTCCAGGGTTCAGCGGCTGTGCTGCAGCGTCGGTCAGAAAACGAAGAGTTTGTGGAAGTGGGAAGACTGGGGCCCTCGGATTACTTTGGTATGTGGATCGTCTCTCAGCAAACCCCTATCTGGCTCTGGGGTCTTGGGCCTTCTGTCACCCATCTCCTGGAATAGAGTTGCCTTAAGTGCATCGTCACTTGCTTTCCAAGAAATCGGGACGTGACCCAGTTAACAGTAGGTTCTCCCCTCTGTTGGCTGTTTTTTAAGTGCCGATGGCTTCTTGTCTGCACGAGAAAGCCAGCTTCGCCTCCCTTGTCAGAGAGAGAGAGAGAGAGAGAGAGAGAGAGAGAGAGGTGATTCCCCTCGCAGCCCTCCCCTCACTGTCCCTTCCCTTCTTCAGGTGAAATTGCTCTGCTGATGAACCGTCCTCGGGCGGCCACGGTGGTGGCACGTGGCCCCTTAAAGTGCGTCAAGCTGGACCGACCGCGATTCGAGCGTGTTCTGGGCCCCTGCTCCGATATCCTCAAGCGGAACATCCAGCAGTACAACAGTTTCGTGTCACTGTCTGTCTGAAGCCTGTCTCCATCCGTGCCTCCCTCTCCGCTCCCTGGCCCAGGCTTCCCTCGCGCAGACAGCTCCGTGCTCTCTCCCGGCAGCACCACGGGGCCACCGGCACCACTGCTTCCTGTCTGTTTCTGTTGAAAGTTGCTTTTCTTGCACCATTTTTAATTTGGAGCATTAAGTGAATGCTCGCCCACAGTTAAATAAATAGAAAGCGTTCTCTGGAGACTTGGCCGTCTTTGCTTCTCTGTGTGCAGTGTTAGTGTGCATCCCGGGCAGCCAGCGCCCGGCTTGGTTCGAGTTGAGGGCAGAACCCAGCACCTGAGGAGTTTTCGGCAAGCATTGACAGCAAGCGCCAGGTCCTGTGTGCAGCTTGCTGTTGTCGTTTTCCAGTTAGTAGCCTGTTGTCGACTGTGGCCCTCTGTGCTGTGTTTCTCTCTAGAAGGAATGATTTCTCATTATGCTACGGGTTAGAACAGTGGACACAAAAGCCTCCTGTCGAAAGGCGTCTGCCTGTGCTGCCAGCTGCATGTAGCTGAAGGGTGGGGAGGCACGCAGGTCTGCGGGGTCCCAGATGCATGGGAGCTGGTCGGTTCGTTATTAATCACAACTTTTCTCTGTTAGGCTGATTGGTTTGGTTTGATTTGGTTTCTATCTTGTTAATGTTTCTTCTTAGAGATCTTTTGATGTAGTTTAACTACAAGTTAAAACTGTATCTTAGCCTGCGATTTGGTTCTGACATCTGCCTCTTCTCAAGAGTTCTGGTGGGACATTTATTTACCCAGCTAGTGCCAAATGCTGACGACCAGTTGCTGGCGTGAGACGGGCGTGAGGTGCACTTGCTTGGAGCTCTTGGTTAGTGGACGGACCTCAGTGGATTGCAGTTGGGGCTTCAACGCTCAGAAAACTGCTTCTAGGGGCTCGGGTTTTCTGTGACACGTGGGGTGCTGCACAGAACACTGCTAAAGGGACAAGTGTCTGGTGACAGTTCAGTGTCAGGAACATGTCCCTGTTAGACTACTGGGACTTGAGATTTAGGAAGAAGTGTTGTTTGGGCTTCTGCACCTCCCTCTTCATGTGAGCTAGCAGTCACTGGGCGGTGGTGACGGTGGTCATAGTGGAGGGGGTAGAGGGCTGTGTCTGTTGTCTGGGCCTGGTCTCCACAGCTTTCCTGCAGAAGGTCAGCTTTCCTCACTAGTCAACTTCTTCTAAATAAAATTTATGTTTTGAGTCTTACCTCTGTTTCAGTATTGCCTAGCCCTGTGTGCTCTATTATTCCCTGTGCACCCCTGAGACCTTGCAGTTTGCTTTTATTGTTGGCTGTTTAAACAAATTGTCACCGTTGCATAACGTAGGCGCTCTGATGTGTATTTCGTGGCGGGAGTGTGTTTGGGAGGCACGGCAAGCATTCTTCATCTGCGAGCCCCTGGCTCTGACTGGGACTTCCTGCCCACCCCCGTCCCCAGGTCAGAGACCCGCACACTCGAGCTTGGGCCTTCGTCCTTGCGGGGAGCCACAGAAAGTCACCTTGTTAGAAAATGTTTTAATTTTTCAACATCTAGACGGGATGAGGGTTTTTCTGATTTACACTTCGTGTTTTGCTACCTTTTTTTAATTCTCAAGCTGGAAATGAAATTATGTTCTTATTAGCTTAAAGCTGGATTTGATCTTTGTTTAAATGCCAAAAATGTACTTTACAAAATGAGTTACTTAGAATGCCATAAACCTGCCCAGTTTCCTATGTGTATATAGTCCTGTTCATGTATATTTAGGACAAATGCTTTCTAAGTACGTTTACCCTGGACTCATTTGGCTTGCTGTCTGACCCCCTTTTGTAGGTTTTGATCTAAGAACTTTTAAGCTAAGTCTAAATTTAAACATGATTACCTTTAAAGCTTTCTCTGTACAACCGTAAGTGTTTGTGAAAGAATCGCAGGTGGCCGCTTTCGACTTAGTGGGCATTCAGGGCTTGGTAAGTCAGTCTGAGAGAGCTCCTGCTCTAGAAAGTCTAGATGGGCAGAGGACCATTTTGTATTGTTTCCTGGCTAACAGTCTGATTATACTGTATGTGCTAATACAACTGATCTTTTTTTGTTGTAGAGTGTCTTAATGGTAGGTCCAATAAAAAAGAGGAAAAAAGAAAGGATTAAATAACTTAAACTTGCAAATGTAATCCGTTTTTCTTCCCTATCTCCTTTTTGTGTCTCTTTCGTGTACTCCCTCTCCCAGCAGACATAGCTTCTGCTGGGTAAGAAGGAAAAGTCCAAGAATGATGGGCTCTGTGTTTGGAAAGAGCGCGTGTTTATCTCCAGGGACACCCAGCCCGGCTTGTTTGTCCAGGGCTGGGGCACAGAGGGCAGTTGCCTGTGGGCTGATCAAGGGGGAGCAGGTCTGCCTGTGGAGCCCAAGAAGGAAAAGATGAAATCAGAAGTCTAGAATTCCTCCTCCTCTTTGATGGAAGCCAGGCCCGGGAGCCTCCCCCGATGGGGAAGCGTCGTTTCTGGGTTAGCATGAGGGGCTGCCGAAAGGGTGTGGACAAACGGCACAGAAAAGACCTGGTGGCCCCAGTACTTCTTGGTGCACGTGTCTGTCATATGTGTGTCCCTCTTGGGGGACAATGTGAAGCTTTATTGCTGTTGCTCGTTCCTCAGTCAGCAGAGAGGGCGCTGTGGTGCTCTTTGGCGTATGCCTGTGAATTGGTGCGTGTCCAGCAAAGTTGGGAGACATGTGTTCTGAAAGCATGGTCTCCAATGTGTGACCTGTGCCCCTTGTCTGGTCCAGTTGGCCACCCCTGCTGGCTTAGACTCTCACCCTCCCCCTGGCCTGCAGGCTTGCACGATGACACTTTGAAACTGCAGTGACGTCAGTGCCTTCCTGTAGCCTCGCAGGCTCTGGCAGCACGTTTGTAAACGCTTCAGGTGGCAGGGTAGGACAACTGTGGAGCCGGTCAGCTGCCCTGAAGATGCCTGTCCTCGCCCGTCTCAGACCAGCCGGTAGTTAGGGTAATTTAAAAGGCGGGAGGATCTTTGCCGGCGCCTGCGCTGGAATCTTAAGCATTGAGTCCAGCACTGTTGTGTGTATGCACACAACTGAAACGTGCCTTTACATCAGCTCACATCTGTGACTTCATCTGTACCCCCTAAAGACAAATCCACTAGTGAGGGTCACCTGCTGCCACTGTCCACTCAAAAGTGGCTCTCTTGGCAAAGGTAGAACTGCCTTATGAGTTTCCAAGACTCACACTCTGCAGGAGTAGTCAGTCTCAGCTTTCTCTGAGGAGCAGCTGCTGGTTTTGAACCACTGACCTTGTGGTTAGCAGCCCACAGCGTAACCACTGGGCCACCAGGGCTCCTTGTGGTTTATTTTGTGACTTTTCTGCCAAGGTAGCTTGTGAAAATGACTTTGTGATTCTAAAAGTTAGCACTAGATGGGGAACTGTAAAAAAATCATTTAGGTTCATTTCAAAACTGGTGATTTTGGTGGTGCGGTTGTTGTTGTTGTTTTTTTCCAGTCTTGTAACTTAGTTATCGTGACTTTGGGGAATGTTAAAATGAGTTCCTGTAAGTCTTCTCTCCCCAGTGTCTCACAACTTGTATAGTTAATTCCTTTCGATTTTGAGTTGGTGGTGGTTGACAAACACCCAGATTTTTCTGTAGCTAGAGATGGAGAAGTTTCATTTCATGGGAAGCTGGACAGTGGTTCCAAATGAGTGTGTTGGAAGAACTTGATAGTATTGGATTCCATCTTCTGTTTTCTGGAATTTTCGACATTGCTGGAGTCTGTTTTGTTAGTCACAAATAACCATAACAATAATACTCTGCTCAACCCAAACTCACTAATCTGACTCATTGCAACCCCTGTGGGTTTCTGAGATTGTAGCTTGATGGGAGTAGAAAGCCCAGTCTTTCTCTCTCGGAGCTGCTGATGGTTTCGAACTGTCATCCATTCAGATTGTAGCCCAATGTGGAACTGGCACCCCATTGGGACTCCCTAGTCAAGAATAGTGCAGTGTTGACTGAGTAATAGTAAGTACTCCGCCTATTGTGGTCAGACCAATTCATTTGCCTCTGGATTGGTGGTGGAGGTGGTAGGTGGGTGGCGTGCGAGGAAAAGGCAACAGCTACAACTTCGTCAGGTGGCATGGCCCTACTGATGATTTTTGGGGGAGAGGCCTATAAGACCCTCAGTTTGTAAATTGTAAGAGAACATTTGAGAGACAGCTGCCTCTTCCCTCCCTGGAGTTGCGCATCTTTGAAATGGCTCTTTTATACTGAGCTTTGAAGTCCTAGCTCTGCCATGTTGGGGGTGGGGTGGGGATTGAGAAAGTTTGTGGGGAAAAATCCCATTATCTTTTCATTTGATTTTTCCACGGACTTTTCACACCCGTTTCCCCCTCCCCTCTCTCCTCCTGTCCGTGTGCACACTCCTCACCCATCTCCCAGTTGGAAAAGTGGGCCTGAACCGCTGTTCAGGACGTGGGCCGGGCCACCCTGTGTGGACAAGAGCTGCTTCAGTTAAGGAGTCCTCTGGCATTGAAATGCTTCTATTAAAAAGTGGCTTTTTGTTTTTCAGGCAAACACAACTTTATGAGTCAGGTGAGAACCTGTTGGTTGTTTGCGTTGCAGGTTCAGGAGCGCTGGAGTTGATTTAAATCCTGAAATGGTATGCTAGACATTTAGTCGGTCCCTGAGTTGGCCTTGGGCCCTCAGGTGGGGTTACAGCTGTGGGCTTGGGCGGCCGGGGCTGGGAGGAGGGGACTGTGTATGGATCTTCTCCATGAGAGCATCTGCCATGGAAATAAGTCGGGTGGAGACATAGGGTTCAGGGCCAGTGGGCCAGTCGGGTGGGGACTGCCTGGACACATTGCAGGAGCCCTGGATGACGTTTCTAACTCTGACCTTGTACCCTCTTTAGGGACAGTTTTGAACCCTGCCAGTCACACTTGTGCTATTGGAGCCTCTGGTCTTGTCAAGACAAGCTGAGCAGACAACCCCAGATTTGGGCTTTGTCGACCGACTCATGAGCCCTTCAGGCCCGTCGCCCCGTGTGGCTCTGTTCCCCTCACTGGCAGTGGTGCTCTCCTGTTAGGAATACGAGAGGCCCACCCTCACCTGTTAGAGCAGTGGTCCGTAACCTGGGCGTCCTGACCCCTTTTGGAGGCCGAACGACCCTTTCACAGGGGTCGCCTAGGACCATATTTCCCATGGTCTTAGGAGGGGAGACACTGCTCCTGTCTCCAGGCGGGTCCGCCCACATGCAGGTCACCACCACATGAGGAACTGTGTGAAAGGGTCGCAGCATTAGGAAGGTTGAGAACCACTGTGTTAGAAGCACGTAGTGAAGAGAGAATCCCACCTTTGGACACTTAAACTAAGCGTTGATGACCCTTTTGTTGAACTAGGCAACCGAGGGCAGGGCTGTCTGTGGGTCCCACTTCTCTGTTGGGAAGGGAACGGCTCTAGCTATTTGGGCGAGTGGGTGGATGGTGGTCAGTGGTCTGGCTTGTGGAGGCCCCGGCACCTCTGGCAATTCCCACAGCGGCTGATTTTCTGATTCTTGACTGACTGAATGTTCAGGTGGATACTTTAAATTCTGGTTAAAGCACCTTTGGACCGGGGGTTGGGGGAGCACCTCCTGTTTACATGGTCTCGTGACATCACAGATGGCTTTGCTGCCTGATGTCGGGTTTGTGAGAACAGTGATTTTCCTCTAGGGGCATTTGAAAACCAGGCCGTTGCCACCAGAATGGGGATTGAAGTGACACTGGGCCCAGGCAGTGGGGTGGCTATATTCAGATTGGCGCGAGCGTCTGGGGTGGGAAGGGGGTGTCTCCTTGGAGCCAGTCAGAAAGTGACTCCAGCCCAACTCTGCCGGGTCAGGTGGTGGTTTATGGGGACCAGGAGTGACCCTTTGATGTGTAGAGAGAATAAGGATCTGAAGGGCAGGAGGCTGCCCACTTCATGCCCTTTTATTGGTTACAGTCAATGCTCTCCTAGGAACAGTGTTTCCAGTGCTTCCCAGCCTGACCCCTTTCAGATTCCCAGGGGTCTAGAGAGAGAGTCTGCGGTGTTGGTGAGGCCAGAACTCTCTGGGAACAGGAGCCAAAGGGATGCCTCTGGAAGCCACATTCAAGTTCAGTGGGTTCCCTTTGTGGTCCCAGGAGCGTCCTGGTGCCCCCGTCCTTCCTGAGCTCACGACTCAGGGCTACCAGCATCACCAGGTGGAGAGTGGGCAGCAGCCAGCACTTGGGAGTCCATCTCTAGCTCCATGTGTCCTTTCAGCCGTATCTGGCTCTCCCAGCCCCTAGCTTGTCTGCTTAACCTGGGCAGAGTCAGCGGATGGTTCTCCTGGGTCACTGGCAATGACACGCTCTTCCCCGTGGGCCTTGACGCACGTCTCCACAGCCTCGAGCACGATGCGGAGTCTCCGGTCCAGGGCGAGGAGGTGGGGCTCTGTGAGGACTGGGCTGAGCTGGTCGTCCAGCAGGGACTCACGCATCACATCACTGAGCCGGTAGTCCGCCTGGGCCAGCAGCTGCAGGTGCAAAAGCGTTTTCCTCTTTATTCTGTAAGAACAAGGTCAAGAGAACCGGATGAGCGGAAGTCAAGCCACTGGGGAAGTTGGAGAAGTTCCGAGAGCCTTCTCCCCCGTATCTTCTCCAGCACATCATAATGCAAACAAGTGACCAAAAGGTGACGTGGCCCTTCACCCAACTGCCTTTTGGTCAAGGGTCTGTTGTAAAGCTGCTCATGCCTCTCCCCGGACTCGTGGGCACTGCCAGCCTCCCAACTTGTTTCTCACCAATTTTCTGAGGTGGCCCTGTGGGGTGAAGGTGGCCAGGGACCCACCCTAACGTTGGGAACTGGGTTTGCCGTGATCTTGGGCATGGGTTCATTCCACTTGCCCGCCTTTTGTCAGAAGGAGGAGCTGTCTGGGAGGCCGAGGGGGAAGTGTGTGTTGCCTAGGACGTTGATGAGGGCTGTCCATGCTCTGCGTTTTCCAGCAGGGAAAAGGACTGAGGTGGTGCCGTGTGAATCACATATGTATAACTAGTTCTGGACGCTGCAGCTGAGCAGGCGGGCAGTTTCCCAAGCCTGGCGGGAACACCAGAGGAGAGCGGGGCTCTGTAGGTTCAACGTTCCTTAGAGAGAGGGAGGATGGCCGAGTGAAGGCCTCAGTGCTTCCTTTCCATCTGATGGGCGCTTTGGGGCCTTTAATCAGGGTTTGGCTTAGCTGGTGATGAGCTTGAATCTATGAGCTGCCCCCAGGGCTGGGCGAACAGGGCTCTGACGAGTGACATCCAAGACTGCCCGGGCTCTGCCAAAGCAAGGGGCTTTTCTGAGTGGGTTCAAGATGAAAGCTGGGAGTTGAAAGGTTTAAAAGATCAGAGTCTTTATATTCATCTTGCGGCAGGGTGGAAATGTCAGGGGGATGCTGTTGTCGGGATGTGGAGAATTCTGTAGCTGTATTATGGGACGAGGTTGCTCACGCCATGACCTCGGCCCACCCATCACCTAGCCCAGGGGTGGGGAGTGCCCGGCCGAGCGCTATGTAAGGCTTGAGAAATCATTGATACCAGCTCACATCAGCTGCCTCACTCACGGGCACCACTTCCAGCCATCACCTTAGGGGTGAGTTAATGAAAGGCTGGGGCAGTCTGGCCTGGGAACGAAGTCCTAAACACCCAAATGGCCCTTGGCAGAAGGAAGGTTCCCCACCCCTGGCCCAGACCAGTGGGAGTCTGAGGACCTTCAGAGCGTGGTCGACACTGTTGGGTGGCGGTGGCAGGGACTTACACGCAGCACTGGGAGAGGGGCGAAAGGATGGAGAGCTCGTCTCGCGAGTGCCGTCCGAACCTAGGGGAGGAGAAGGGTGCTTGTGCAAGGCCAGCCAGCCGGCAGCCTCCGACAGCCCGGTCAGCTGGGCAAGCTGCCTCTCCAGCCCTCCTCTCAAACAGGTTGATGCTCAAATCCGCCGCTGTGGAGTGAATCCCACCCAGCCCGAGTGGAACCGCCCCCACGGGGTGTCAGACTGTCCGCCTTATAGGAACAGCCTGCTTCTTGCAGACAGCTGACCTTGCATTCGGAAACCGCGTGCGCTGAACCACTGTGCCACTAGGGTCTCCAAAGATGTTCAAAGCAGGCAACTCCTCTGGTTGGCTGGTCATTCATGGACTTGGCATTCACTCATGCATTTACTCATTCATTCATCCACTTCAGAGGGCCACCCGCTGAAGAAAGCCATGCTCCCTGCCCCCGGGAGCGGACCAGTACAGCACCAGAGAGAACTTGAGTGGGTGTCACCAGGACACTTCAGTGCTCTGGGAGGGCGCGTGGTGGGGGTGTGGGGAGGAGCACGTCAGGGAGAGGGAAAGGAAGAAGCAAGGGGGGCGGTGAGTACAGCAGTCGGGGCCCCTGGGGCTGGCCGAGGGGAGTGTGAGGACCCAGGCAGGGACACGTACCCTCTGGCATTGTCGAGATGAATAAGGAACCCGTCATCCCCAAACTTGGTGAACATCTCATAGTGGTGGCGGTCCATGTTCCCTGTAACCAAGGGGTGAAACTGGTGTCAGGGCTAACCCCGGAAGGGTAGGGGGAGGTGCGTGGAGGTGGGGTTCTTCATCTATTGGGCATCTGCTCCCCACTGCTCTGCGGGGAGTGTGCCCTACTTCCTGCCTTCTTACGGGTCAAGTGGGGAACCATTTGGTCCAGTCTCAGGCCCGCATGGACCAGGTGGCGGGGTTTTGTGCCCTCTCATGGGTGATGGCTTTGAGGACTTCGACCCTTGTGGCCCTCAGGCACTTGGCACGTGGGAGGTACAGGGTTAGCCAGCCCCTCACAACAGGGACCCACCTATCAGGAAGTCGAAGATGGCCATGTCGATGATGCTGAGGAGCCGGCTGCCGCTGCTGTATGGGAAAACCTGTTTCACAGTGTCACAGTAAAGAGGGTTGACCTCCCACCTGCGGGAGAGAAGACGTCCTGGGGCTGGGAAAGCCAAGATGGCAAGGGCTTGGCGTCTGCCCTGCAGCTCTTCTAGCCTGTGGCCTGGCCAGTGGCAGCTGCTTGGGCAGTAGCTGGGCACCCCTAGGAAGACCCTGAGCGCTGAGAAGGTTCAACATCCTCGCCCTGCTGGGGAAGGCGAGATGGGCAGGTTGGGAAGGATGGTATCTGTGCTCACTAAGCCGCCTGGCCCCTGGCCTCGTGTGCTAAACCACCCTCTATCCCCCAGAACCTGCCTTCATTTCTCTCTCTGCCTGACATGCCCCCATGCCCGCTGCACCTCTGGTGGGCGCTTAGTCTGCACATTCCTTAGCTGGGACATGCCTGTGCTTCCCATGACTAACCTCTGCTGTAAGCCAGGGCGGCTGGAACAACATACTGACTCAGTCCACTGTGGTCCGGGGACTGTCAGTGATAGGGACATGGCTAGGGATCAGGAGCGACCTCACAGGCTGGCCTAGTTGGGTGAGCCAGGTGCCCCACCCGAGCGAGCTCCAGGGTCACACCGTATGGTCAATGTAGCTCCCCGGCTGTCTGCTTCATGGTAGCCCACCAGACCAGGGAGCTTCATGAAGAGAGGCTGTGCCTGTCCTCTATCTCCAAACACCTAGTGCTGGGCACACCGTCGGCTCTTAATAACCGAAAATCAACCAAGGGGAGGGAGTAGACAGGCCAGCTGCGCCCAGGGTCAGTGCGAACTAAGGTGGAAGGGATTGAGGCAGTTTTTGTGCTTCAAGAGCCAGGGTAGCCACAGGTCCTTAGGGCAGCGGCAAGTCCCTCGGAGCACTGGCCCGAGGGCTGGGTGTTGTAGCCAGGGGGCTGACTCACTCCTCCTTTCCTGCCAGCGAGTAGGAGCGCATCCAGGGGTTGGGCACCGACAGCCTGGGGGCCAGGTTGAGGGACGGCAGGAAGGTGGACAGTGAGCCCTCCAGCAGATGGGGGTTGCCACAGACGGCGTATTCGGTCTTGCACATGTATGGACACTTGGCGAAGAAGCACACGTTGCTGGCTAGAGGGCGGGGAGGGCAAAGGGAAGAGAAGGAGCCACCGCTTTTTCGACACAGGGACTAGTGAATGCCACCATGCCGAGCATCCTGGGACCGGTTTTCAACTGTCTCAGCGCAGAGCATGCGTGGGCCCATCCCCCCCGGGATCCCAGCCGGGTGATGAGAATGTTCTGTTACCTTGGCGGGTGCCGTCTATAATTCCAGGGAGGCTAGCGTTGCAGGCTCAAAGCCCATACGAGCTAGTTAGCAGCTCACACAAAACCCTTCCCCGTACTGGTTCATCCGCTGCGATGCTCAGGTGGGAGTGTATGATGACTGAAGGTACCCGTGGCCCATGCTGGGTCCCACCAACAGGCCAGACACCCATGCACACGGGCCCCCCAGAGTGTGGCCCTGGCCCATACTCTACCTGGGGAGACAAAGAAGACGCTCTGCAGGATTTCATTCTTGGTGACCTCCAGGATCTCCTTGCTGACATTCACCAGCCTCCCCACCGTCGGCGGCACCCGCCGGAAGTCCAGGATCCTGGGGGAGAGGGGGCAGCGCTCAGGTCTTTGGGGTGGCCTGGGGTGGGAGAAGAGGTTCCTGGGCCAGTGTGCATCTCCCGTCTGAGCCAGACCAGCAGGGGGCTCAGCAGTGTGGGACTGAGGGTCCAGGGTGACCCCAGGTCTAAAGCAGTGGGAGAAAGGGACAGAATCCTTATCTATGCTGCCTCCCTGGTAACCCCCCACTATCCCCCCTCCCTCCCCCCGCCCCTGTGCTCTCTGAGCCCTGTTCCTATCTTCCTGGGCGTACTTGCCACCGAGCCTGTGGGAGAGTGGGTGGGTAAGTTTGAAGTCCCTCCCACTCCTGGGCAGAGGCTGAGAAATGGCTTTATTTTCCTTTCTGCTTGGCTGTTGGTGGTCCCCTACGCTCCCTCTGCACGTCTGAGTATCACAAGCGCTTGGGCAGACAGACTGGCTGGGAACCTGGAGTTGGCTTTCCCACGTCAAATCATCCTCAATACTGCAGATGAGTGGGGTGAGCCCACTTTTCCCGTTTCCAGCCGTAGGACATGGGAGAAGGGGGCAGGGCCAGCCCAAGGCGGCAAGGGGAGTAGGATTGGCAGAGCTAGTTTTTGCATGCTACCCCCTTCATGCCATTTAAAAGACCTTGACCTTCTCAAGGCCCAGGGCTGGGTGGAACATAGTAAGTTTGAAGGCCCCATTACCGAGGCACCTGGAAGATAAGGAGCCAGAGTGGTGTGCCCTCCCCCAACCGAGGGCCCTCTAGCGCCCCGTCCTGGGACTGGCCCTCCCTTGTCCTCAGCAGCATCTCCAGGGGGCCAGACCAAGCCCTACCTGTCCAGGTGGAAAGCGGCAATCTCGGCATTGTGCCTCTGGAAATCGATGAAGTAGAAGAAGTCCTCAGGCGTCTCCTCGTCTCGCTGCTGTCTGGAAGGAAGGCAGGGATCACGTCCTGGACTCGGGCCTCAGAGCCTGGCCACAGAGCAAGGGGTACACGCCCGAGTTTCTACGTGTACACCGATGGTGGGGGCCCCCATGCCACACCATTGGGTGAAAGAGGAGGAACCTGGCTTCTTGCCAAGTAGCGTTCTCAAGCCCAGGGTAGAACTGCCCCTGTGGGTTTCCGAGACTGTCGCTCTTCACTGGAGTAGAAAGCCAAACTTACATCAGCAGCTCCAGGCATAACCACTAGGCCCGCAAGACCCCCTCAGAGCTCCTAGGCACCACTACTTCAGACATCACCAATAGCAAGTTTCCTTCCTAGCTAAGGGTCCTTGGTGAGTAACAAACAGAACAACAGAGGAAATCCCCCAAAACGAAGCCCAGGGCCATCAAATGGATTATAGCTCATGGGCACCTCTCTGATGGGTCACATTGCACCGTAGCAGTGTCCTGGCTGTCCTGGTGGAAGCAGCTCACTGGGGCCCTAGCAAGACTTTCAGAGGACCGGCGTTTGGGAAGAAGAGAGCACACTCTGGGCTTTCGGGTGACTGGGAGGGGACAGATACACAGCACGTCAGCAGTCAGCTGGGCCAGGCAGAGGGAGGGAAGCCTCTAATCGGCCTGCCTGAGGGTGTGTGTTGGGAAAGAGCCTTCTAACCAGCAAGGCCCTAAGTTGCTGCTTCTGGCCTCTAGAAAGACACTGCCCAGAGGCTAAGCAACGTGGAAGAATGCGGTTCTTCCATGAGCCACCTTGAGGGACTGTGCAAGGGTTGTGGAAGCCAGTGAAATGTACAGAAAGGTGATTCCGGGGAATGCAGGAAATGGTCAGCCCCAGGCCCCGACAGGGAACCTGGTGGCAGAGTGAGTGACACACTGCAAGTCAGCAGTTCGAACACGCCAGCCACTCCGTGGGAGGAAAATGAGGATGGCTGCTCTCTAAAGATTTGTAGCCTCGGAAACCCACAGGGGCAGTTCTCCTCTCTTACAGGGCTGTCATGAGTCGGGATCGCCTCCATGGCAGGGAGTTGGCTTTGCTTTGGAGCCATTGAACATCAATGCCAGAAAACACCAGGTCGCCCTGGAAGCCAGCGTGGACAGTCCTTGCCAGAGGCAGTGCTAGTGGTTGTTGGGTGCCGCCGAGTCAGGTCAGGCTCTATTGTGCGACCTGATGCACGATCGAACCCAACGCGGCCCAGGCCGGCACCAGGCTCAGCTCTCCTCAACGTTTGAGCCCATTGTTGCAGCCACTGGGTCAAACCGTCTTGTCGAAGGTTTTCCTTGTTTTCACTGCTTTGCTTCTTTACCAAGCATGACGTCCTTCTCCAGGGACTGGTCTCTCCTGCCAATATGTCCAAAGTACATAAGATGAAGTCTCGCCGTCCTTGCCTCTAAGAAGCATTCTGGTTGTACTTCTTCCAAGACAGATGTGTTTGTTTCTTTGGCAGCCTGTGGTACTTTCAATATTCTTCACTGGGACCCCCATGCTTCCTCGGTCTTCCTTATTCGAAGTCCAACTGTCACATGCATATGAGGCGATTGAAAAGACCATGGCTCCGTCAGGGGCACCTTAGTCCTCAAAGCAACATCTCTGCTTTTCAATACTTTATTGCCAGAAGTAAGGGGTTCTGTTTTCAAGGTGCCCCCTATTTTAACAGGACAGCCTTCCTTGCTCAGCTGACCATAATTAGCATCACCCACCCAAGGCTTAAGCCTTGGTGGTCCGCCAGAAGAACTAACAAACCTGTCTTGGAAGAAGTTCAACCAGAAAGCCCCGTAGAAGCCAAGGTGGTGAGTCTCCATCTCACGTCCTTGGGCCAGGGCATCAGGAGGGAGCAGCCCGGGAGAATGACAACATGCTCGAGGGCAAAGCTCCAGCAAAGAAGAGGCAGAATGAGATGGAGCACCAATAGCGGCTGCCCCAACAGGCTCAAACGGAGCAGCGATGCAGGGCATGGGGCAAGGCGAGGCGGTGTTTTGCTGTTGTACCTGGGGGAGGCCTCTCGCAGTTGGAAGGAAGTCAGTGGTACTCAACAACAAAGACTAGTTCCCAGGGAAGCACGAGCAGTTTGCCCCAGGCTATGAACCTAAAGGTGGATGGTTCAAAGCCACCCAGCGGTGCTGCAAAAGCCAGGTCTGTGAGTCTGCTTCCGTGAAGACCACAGCGGTGAAAGCCCAAGGAACTGTTCTCTTTGCCCGAACAGGAGGTCACCGTCAGTGCGATTCAACTGGCCTGCAGCGGGGGTCTGGGTTTGGGGATAACTGGCTTAGAGAACGCAATGGGCGGCTCCGCGACTGGCAGAGAGGAAGGCAGCCACTTACCTCATGGGTTTGAACATGGCCTTCCCAAAATCCGAGAACCGCAGCACCAGCTTCAGGTGGACCCCACTGGGCTTCACAACTGGGAAGGGGGCACAGGGAGTTGTTAGTGGCGTCCCTGGGTTCAAACTCAGGGTGATGACCCTTTGTTAATTCGAGAAACCCAGCTAACTTCCCCCCTCTTAGCTTCTTTAATCAAACCCTGAAGAGTAGGTGCTTGTCTCTGGGGAGCGGGTATTGGAGGACCCCAGAGCAGAGCAGTTTATCTGCAGAAAGCTGCTTGTCACACACACCATAGCACCGGTCCCTTCCTCTTTGAACCCCAGCTGCCCCCACAGTGACCCGCCATCTGCTCCGTCCTCCTAGATCCAGTTTCCGATTGATCTGTCTCACTCGGATTTCAGACTGTAAGGTGGCTGGGGCTGAGGCAGCCGGGGTGCCTGTGTGTGACCTGCACTGAGAGCTGCCTCCTGAAACAGGGTCCTGCTCGCCCCCTGCTCTCCTGGCCCTGCTGTGAGTCCCATGAGGTGGGGAAACTGTCTCCCCCTCACCTTAGCGTTCTATAAAATGGCCAATAGCTGGTGCTTCACCCACCACGGGAGCCCCTGGGGGTGGAGATAGCCCACCCCGAAGAAAGCCACTCGGAAGAAAGGTCTGGTGACCCATCTCTGAAATATCAGCTGCTGAAAAGCCTGGTGGAGCAGAGCCTTTCTCTGACCTCCATGGGGTCACTCAGTGGCAACAGCTTTAACCTGAGAAGAGGGAAGCCCAGCTACTGCGTGTCACGTCACAGGTAGACATTCCTGATCAGTCACACGGTGGGCCCAGTGGGTGCAAGGATACATATGGCCAGTGGTGACTGCCCAGGGACTGAGAGGCTGGGCCTGGCCCGACTACTCCTGCCCTGGGCAGGGCATTGCCTGGCCTCATTTGTACAGGGCTTCCAGGCCCTGTAATCTGTGAGGGGCTCTGCCCTCTCCCGTTTCTGTCCTCATCTGCCCCAGTGGGCCTCTGCGTGGCTGCATCGGAATCCCCCAGGCCTCACTGGTACCCCCAGTTCAGTCACCCTGGAGGTACAAGTTCCCCAAACCCAAGCTCCCCGGACTCACGGCCATTGAGTCATGCCAACTCCTAGCCACCCTAGAGAGGGTTTTGGCACAGTGACTTTATGGGAGCAGACAGCCTCATCTTTCTCTCATGGAGGGGCTGGTGTCTTTGAATTGCTGACCTTGTGGTTAGCAGCCCAATGCCTTATCTGCTGTGCCACTGGACTCCTTACCTAAAGCCCGAGTGAGCCTAGTATGAAGCCAGTGTCTCCAACCACTGCCCTGAACAGTTGCTTCTTATGTTAGAGACTGAGGGTTTGGCTGAAGGGCTGACTGTGGGCAATCCGAGGTGGGGGCCTGTGACTCTATTTCTGATAAGCTCCTGCTAGGCAGGTGGGCTGGGCCATGGATCAGGTAGATCTTCCTCCTTGTGGGTGGGTGGGCTGCAAGGCTGAGTTCCCTGGGGAGACCATCCTACCCTGAGGGGGTGCTGGGCTGTGCACATAGTGGATTGCTTTTAGGGGCTGCTGACGGTGAGGGGCTGGGGCCAGCGGGCGAGCCACTTACTCTGGGTGCAGTCACACGCCCCAAGCAAGGCTTTCTCGTCCTGACTGTAATCTGTGAAGAAGAAAAGGGGACATGCGAGCATCGTCACCCTCAGCCTCGGTGCCCGGAGAGCCGCCGCTGGGGGGCCTGGGCTCACGGGCAGACCCAGGCAGGCGAGGCAGCCACTGGGCCAGGACCCCACACAGGAGGGATCCCCTGGAACTCCAAACTGAAAACTCAAACTCCCTGCCATCGGGTTTGGTCGACTCACAGCGACCCCATATTTCCGATGGGTCCAAACTGAAAACTCAAACTCCCTGCCATCGGGTTTGGTCGACTCACAGCGACCCCATATTTCCGATGGTCTTAGGAACCGAGACAGGACTCCTCTACCCATCTCCAGGCGTGTCCGCCCAGCTGCAGATATGCCCACATACGAGTCTCCACCGCATGCGGAACTGTATTAGGAAGGTTGAGAACCACTGCTGTAACTCTTCAGGGGATTGGAGAGCTTCCTTTTTCTCCCACAGAGCCAATGGTGGGTTCTACCACCCCACCCTGCTCCAGGCTGCCTGTGGTCATGCCCTGCCTGGAGACGGGGTTGTCCTCACTCAAACTAGCTGCCAGCAGTGACTCTATAGGACAAAGTAGATCAGTCCCCGTAGGCTTCCAAGGCTGTCACTATGGGAGCACACAGCCTCATCTTTTTCTCTCAGAGCAGCTAGTGGGTTTGAACTGCTGACCTTGGGGGAGCAGCTTATGCGCCATTACGCCACCGGGGCTCCTTTCCTACCCAAAAGAAAACAGTAAAACCTGAGCTGCCGTTGAGAAGACTCTGTCTCATGGGGAACCCTCCTGTGCTGCTAACAGCACGGCTGGTGGATATCAGAGGCGCCTTGGAAGAAAGGCCTGGCAATCTCATGCTGAAGACTCTTCCCTGGAACCCCATGGAGCACAGTTCTGCCCCAACACTTACAGGGTCACTGGGCCCAAAGGAGGCACTCCGTAAAAGGTGCACACAGCACACCTCCCGCGGGGTTGGGAGGAGGTTTCCCTGTGTGAGGTCTCTTTCAAGATGCACAGGGCCAGTGACTGTCCTTTGAATCACTAATCCATCTATGCGGGGGTCGGGGGAGTACCCAGCCGGACTGACCCCGGGACCTCACCGGCGCTGATGGTGGGAAAGTGCCGCATGTCGTGCAGGAGGCGGCTGACGATGGGGCTGGACCTCTGGTACAGCCCGTGGCGGTTGATGCCCAGGTGGAACTGGACCCAGCTGGCCTCAAGTCGGAGCTGCAGCGGGGGCTCCAGGGCGGTGAGGTTCAGCTGGTCTCTGTACATCTTGTGTCGCCTGAAAAAGCAGGAAGCGTGTTCTGACCGGAGGGAGAAAAAACCACGTGGACCTGCCTGCCAGAGCGCCTGGTTACTCAACATGGGTTCACCGTGCCTCGTACAGACCACCTGTAGCCCCGTGGGGTGCCCTCATCTGCTGACGGAGAGGCTGGGGGGTTGAGTTCATCTGGAAGCAACTTGGAAGAAAGGGCTGGCAACTGAATCCTGAAAAACTAGCCTTGGAAAACGGCGGACATAGCATTTGCTCTGTGTCTTCCAGCGCTACTGTTCCTTCCTCTCGTCCAATCTGTCCCTTTCTGCATCCTGGGACCCCTTCAACCATGGCACCACAGGGGTCCCCTTCTCTAACATTATCCACTGCTGTCGAGTTGATTCTGACTCGGCATAGCCCCGCGGGGTAGAGTAGAACTGCTCCCTAGGGTTTCCAGGACTGTCAATCTTTACGGGAGCAGACAACCTCATCTTTCTCCCTTGGGATAGCTGGCGTGGAGGGTTGGGGGGGTAGGGTTGACAAGCTGGAGGGCTCAAACACAGTGAGCACTTTATCCACTGTGCCAGCGGGGCCCCCCTTTCTCATTTTAACCCCAAACTCACTGCCATCGAGCCAATGCGGACTCATAGCAACCCTATAAGACAGAGTAGAACTGTCCCTGTGGGTTGTTGAGACTGTCACTTTTAGGGGAACAAATGGCCTCATTTCCCCCCCGCCCCCCAGAGCACCTGGGGGTTTCAAACTGTTCACCTTGTGGGCAGCAGCCTGAAGGGTGACCCATTCACCACCAGGGATTCCCTTTTTTATCTTAGAAATTTAACATATCTGGAGTTGATAGGTCCATCTTTAGGTGAAGTTTCCACACGCCTCTCCAACTACCCTTCCTCACTGGGCTTTGGAAGCTGGCACAGTCCTGGTGGGCCTTCCGTGCCTCTTATTTCTGGTGCCCAGAATGGGATGGAAGTTCCAGACACGATGCCCATCACCGAGGCAAACCGGACCCTTGTCATCCTCACCTCACCCCCCACTCTAGATGTTTCCTTGCTCCAAACGCAGCCCAAGATGGGTCAGCAGCAGTCTTGGGGGAGCTACATAGCACAGACCGGGGCAGATTTCGTGACAGGCAGAATTCTAGTCCCCCAAGACCCCACGCCTCCCCCGGAACCTATGACTGTGGCATCACCCCCATGGCGGTGTTGCCTCAGGTGTCGGAGTTGAACTTGGGGCTGATGGCTGCCTTCCTTTCATATTCCCACTCAGCACTCCGGGTGACGAAGTCGGCCTGCCCCATAGGGCCTCCTCAGTTGAAATCTATCCGGGAGCAGACTTCTACTGGGTGAGTTCCATAAGCCAAGTGCATCACCGCTCAGCCACCAGAGCTCCTGAAGTTGCCTTAAGGGGATCATCCGGCTGGCCCTGGTCGAATCACCCGAGCCCTTAAAAGCAGAGCATTTTCTCTGGCTGGCAACCGAAGTCAGAGACATCTATGTGACACTCGAGAGAACTTGGATGCACTCCTGCTGGCTGTGAGGATGCAGGGGGCCCCACGTGCCAAGGGCAGAGAACCAGCACAGAGCTGACAGCATCCCCAGCCCCGAGCCAGCAGGGAAATGCTGTGAGGTGCTGTCCAGCAGACTCTGACTCTGCGGCGCTAAGTACAACAGAAGGCAACACTGTTCAGTCCTGCGCCGGCCTCACAGTTATTGCTATGCTGTGGCCTGTTGCAGCCATTGCGTCAATCTATCTCCTTTCACTCACCCTCGACATCCCTCTCCAGGGCCTGGCCCCTCCTGATCACATGGTCTGAAGTATGTGAGACAGTCTCAAAATTCTTCTTGATTCTAAAGGCACTTGGGCTGCAGGGAATGGAATTCTCCCAATAAGAGTGAACTCGAAATGGGCCCAGGCTCCCGCTGAGTATGCACTCAGCCTCGTGATGGCCCTGAGCTGGAGACCCATCGGTGGCTGGCTTGTAGAATCAGGATGCAGAACCACCATGGCGAGAGGTGGCACAGATTAAAAGCGTACAGCAGCCAGGCAGGCAAGCACACATGAGTGAATGGGAGTGTGTCAAACTTCAGAACACATTCAACATCTAAAGAGTAACAGCAGGTTCTAAGTTTCAGCTGACAGTAGCCAGGTCCCATTGAGGTCTATTTGACCATGCACCCACCTACCCTCTCATCCATCCATCCATCCATCCATCTATCTTCTACCCATCCACCCACCCATCTATTCATCCATCCATCCACCCATCCATTCATCCATCTATCCATCCATCTTCCACCCATCCATCCATCCATTCATCCATCCATTTCCATCCATCCACCCATCCATTCATCCATCTTCCACCCATCCACCCATCCACCTATTCATCCAACCATCCATCCATCTTCCACCCATCCA